TCAAGGTGTCATATGCATTGCTTAATTAATTCATCTTCAGTTACTTCTTCTGAGCATATAGCTCTAACCCTGTGGCTGAGGGTCTCTACTAAATTTCTTTTGTACTTGAGAGGAAGTATTTTCAAAAGTGTTTACAGACGCCAAATAAACATTTTCTTCATTATGCATTTAGACGGAAGAAAAATATGCCTTAGTAATTAAGACTAATTAATCAATTGAAGGTAATTTTAGAATACGTTAAGCCATCAGTTAAGCTAATCATAACTGACTTGAATTTTCTATTCCGAAAAGTCATGATCACTACTGTCTGTAAACATAAATAAAAATCAGTTTACTAGCCAAAAATGTTTCTCTGATTATTAAATCAAGTGAAAGCCAAACTTTTGTTTTTGTTTTTCCGGTCATGTGGTTTTTCTTGTGCAAATTATGCTTCATTTTCTTCAAGTGGAGTGTCTGTTCAATAAATATATATATATATTTACATTCACGTGGTGTTACACTCTATCACACTTACACAGGCGCACATTAAGAAAGATACCTTAGTCGTCTACAGTGCTAACCTAAGATTAGCTTTATTGATGGAATTTGATAAGTGTGAATTCCAAATCTTTCCAACAGTTGATTCATATTATTAGCGAATGTCAGCAAGTTGTGAACTGGAGTGAGTTTTCAACGCTAAAGTTTGCACAGAAGTGTAGAGATCCAAGTTGCTACACATTACACGAGCACACAATAATAATAAACAGGATTATACAAAAGAAAGAATAATGCATATTTAATGTAGTTGTCAGATCCTAGTAGGTGAAAGCAGCTACCATGTTGCCATTAATCTCCAGCAAAGATTCACAATAAGTACAAACTGCTTACACGTATTTTCCTTTATGAATCTGAATAAAACAAGAATAACGGTTGTGTTACAGGATTTTTTCATGAGCTTACATTAGTTAGAGAACCATTGCAAAACCTGGGAATACTGGGCAGCCGTTTCGTCCTACCTTGGGACTCTTCATAAGTACGCACCCACCCCTAGGGTTCAAACCCAAGACCCTGTGGTTACAAGGCGAGGTCGTAGACCATTAAGCCAATGGGACCCGATCCAATGGGCATCCCATGAATTCTAACTTTCTGCCAATTCCCGACATAGCGCAACCCCTAACCAATGTCTTCGGCGAGTATTTGTCCTCACACCCGACCAGCAGCACCCTACTGGTCACGACTTCTTACTAGAACTCCAGGTAACTACCTACCTGAATAGGGCAAGTCGCTAGTTAGCATTGGCTAGGGGTCACGCTATGTCGTGAATTGGCAACAGTTAGAATTCATAGATTGGACATTGGGTCGGGTCCCAATGCCTTATGGTCTACGAGCTCGCCTTGTAACCGGAAGGTCCTGGGTTCGAACTGTAGTGGTGGGTGCGTACTGCCGAAGAGTCCCAAACTAGGACGAACTAGCTGTTCAGTACTCCCGGTTTTCCAGTGGTTCTCTAACTAATTTCAGCTCATGATGAAAACCTGTAACCAATCAAATCCCTACAAACCTACAATAAAGTTTTTGTTCAGAAAAAGATGATACTCTCAGTGTTTATTTAGTTGGCTTCTCATCAGCTGCGTATAGCCTAAAGAAATTATCAACTTTATGTACAGAAGAATTTTAACATACTTGTGAACTTGATAAACGGTCCTCAGAAATTACACTTATTTAGCCTATACACAGTATGTTTAAGTTGAAACAAAAACCAAGTGGTTCCAGGATTTCATCATGAGGTTATATAAGTTAGAGAACCATTGGAAAACCAGCTGGGAGTACTGGACAGTCTGCTCTTTTGTCCCATTTTGAGACTCTTTATCAGTACGCGCCAACTGCTAGGGTTCAAGCCCGAGACCTTCCGGTTACATGGCTAGCGAGCTCGCAGTCCATTAAGCCGCTGGAATCCGATCAAATGTTCAGCGCATGAATTCCAATTTCTGCCAATTAACGATATCTATCTCGATCAATAGCGATTTTTCATCGTTAGCGAGTATCTATCCTCTCAGCAGTCTTGCTGCGAGGTGAAATTCCTTCGTAATTTTTTTTCAAAGACGACTTCATCAGAAAGACTAATAACTTTACACATTTGTGTCACACATATACTTGAGAACTAATTGCAGTGGCTTAGGCGCTTCCATATCCCGCCTAAATCGGAATCTTATAACTAGGAATCCTTATTGGCTTTTTCCAATGTGTCAATTCCTTTGCAAGTGTTTTGTCATCATTTTTCTTACAAAATATTTACTAATAAAGGTAGGATTAGTATTATTTTTTCCTCAGTTTCCCAGTGGAACACTGGGCTTCAACAACAGAACTCCATTTCATCCTGTCCTCTGCAGTCCTCTTTAGCTGATTCAACGTTTTCCCATGATCTCTCAACTCCTCCATGTCACCTTTCTACCCTCACCCAACAAGCTATTTCCCATCCGGTTTCCACTCGAGTCACGCCCTGGTGTGATATAACTCAATGGTCTCCTGAGCGTAAAAAAATCAATCTTCATTTCATTGTGTATACGTTTGGGACAATAAGTTCTTCGTTTGTTAGCTTCTTGCCGGAGTTCCTTGTCACTCGTCCTTTCTGGCTGGTCAGCTGATCTTCAGCTGAAACGTAGTAGTAGGAAAACGGGTATCCACAGGGATTCATCCTAAAGTACAGTAAAGAAAGAGATAAGAAAGAGAAGTATCCAACAGTTGAAAAGAAGAAAGTGTTCATTTGCTTCCCATGCAAAGAAGAAATAGTATCGCAAAAGATTGAAAGAGGATGAAGGGAGCAATAAACAGATGCTTTCCTGAAGCCAAGCTAGTGACACTATACAGCACTACATGCTGTATGAGCCAGTATAAAATGGATAAGTACCCTGCTGATGTTACCTTCAACCGCATTTATAAATTTACGTGCATCTGTGGCAGCAGTACATTGGAAGGACAGAAAGAAGAGCTTCCATCCTGCTTTCAGAGCATATTCCAAGAAAATTATGCCTAAAATGACACAGATATTTGCAAAGTGCAATTACCGTACACCTTGTGGAAACGGGTCATTTTGTCGAGATTTCCAAATCCTTCAAAATTTTAAACGGACAAAGGATAGTGAATCCACTACGATTTGCTGAAGCAATTTCAGTCAAACGTCTCAGACCAAACTTATGAACACAGAAAGATAGTGTTTTTGATGTGGTTGTGTTCTCTAAGCTGGATGGTTAATTTGTGTGTGAAACTTCACACACAAAGGGTCAAATTTCAAGTCAAAGAAACTATCAATTCTAAAACCAGTAGCCTAGAAGGTGTGAAAACACACACAAACACAATCACGTCCAAGGTCACCGGAAGAGATGGTTGACAAACTCGTGGAGAAATCTAAAAGCTCACTTCAAATTGAAGTATGCGCTGTAGATGTCACCAGTAGGGTGATGAAAGCTTCGTAAATTAACCATCCAGCTCAGAGAACACAACCACATCAAAATCATCCACCTGAGCTACAATCTTCTCTATCATATCTGAAAGAGAGTGTGGTCAATCTCTCACTGTTTTGGTATTACTTTCAGTGCAATGATTCGTCATTCACATTAGTGAGCTCAGTTCACTGAGGGAGTTTTCAATTAGATGAACTTTAACCTTCTTGAGTTGCTATGTAAAGGTATAAGCTCACACTGTTTATTAGATTTTCTGTCTTCTCTCACCCCCTTTTTTCATAGCTTGATAGCATATAAATTGATGGTAACTTAAACTAAAAAATTGTAATATTTATATTCCGGATGCGTTCGTCTTATAATGTTTCCTCTGTTACCTTTCAAAAATTGAAGTATGAAATGTCATTATTTATAACCATTGTAACTTCAGGTACTCGTGTGCAGCTGATGAGAACCTTTGAAATAGAATGATGATATCATTTTATACTGCAGACCTGGTCCTTCTTTTTGTACCGAAATTCTTGTTGGTTTTCAATGGTTTATCAGATACTATCAATCTGTGTTGATGTTCACCTTCAAACCGGACTATTTACCAACAGGCTGTGAATTTAAATATACGGTTCTACATTTATTACTTCAATGTGGCAAATCTAGTGATAAGTGGTCACCAGCAGGGTACACGAAATAAGCAACTAGGATACTGACTCACCCACCACATTGTCTAGCGGCTGCATCAGGTATATATATATATATATATAGTGAATTAGCAGAAGTTGGAATTCATAGGTTGGAAACTGGATCAGATCTCAGTGACTGAAAGGTCTCAGAACTAGCCTTGTAATGGGAAGTCCTGGGTTTTGAACCTTGAAGATGTGTGTGAACTACTGAAGAGTTGGAAAATAAGACGGCAGAGCTAACCATTACTCCCAGGTTTTCTAATGATTCTCTAACCAATGTCAACTCGTTATCAAATTAATACAACTTTTTTTTGCATACAGGATTTATTCATGAGCTGATATCGGTTAAAGTACCACTGGAAAACCACCTGGGAGTACTGGACAGCTGTTTCGTCATAGTTTGGGGCTCTTCAGCGGTACTCACTCACCGCCAAGGCTCGAACTCAGGACCTTCTGGTTACAAGGCGAGCTCATAAACCATTCAGCCACTGGGACCCTATCCAATGGCCAGTTCATGAATTCCAACTTCTGCCAATTCACGATATAGTGCGACCATTTCGCAATGTCTTCTTCAGTGCGTTAGTGCCTCATCTTCAACCAGTTGTACCCTACTGTAACCAGAAGGTCCTAGGTTCAATTCCCCTGGCGGTGGGTGCGTACCGATGAAGAGTCCAAAACTAGGCTGACGAAACAGCTGTCCAGTACTCTCAGGTTTTCCAGTGGTTCTCTAACTGATGTCAGCTCATGATGAAATCCTCCATGCAATCGAACGAAAAATCCCTACAAAACCAATACTTGATAATATAAGTTTTGTTGTAATGTAAACCAAAATGTGAATTTTTGAACTCACTGCATTTTTTTATCCTTATTTTTTCTCCTGCTTAAACAGCTTTGAATAACGCGTGTCTTGTTTTTGATTCACGTTTGGTAATTGATATAAACTTTCACACAAATGATCCGTCGATACGTGCTGCTGGTCCAGTAACAAAATTGAAACGAATTTATTACAACGATTTTTGGAGACATGAAATAGCCTGCAGTTTGGAAGTTGGTCGGCGTGTAAGATTTAATTGCCTTATATAATGAATATGTAATATATATATATATATATATATATATATATATATAATAGGAAAGATTTGTAGAATTGTGTTATCTGAGCTGAAGTCGTTATGCAAAGACTGGAAATGATTGCAGTACCCGTAATTTAACTTAAACTCTGGGTAGGTTATGTTGATGATACATTTGTAATAATGTAAACCAGTCATTCGGAATACACCCACAAATTAATCAATAAAATATATGAAGACATTAAATTCCTCGAGAGGAGAAGAATCAGACAGTCGAACTCCATTCTTAGAATTCTTACCTAATCAAGGGAACAAGCACGGAAAATCTAGAAAGACAAGTGTATTATTATTATTGTTCCCTTGGGTTCTTGGTGGAACATAGGGCTTCAACTGGACATCTCCACTTGCCACTTCTGTCTTCTGCTGTACTTTTCACCTGCATCCATGTTAGTCCACACTGTTTCAACTCCTCTTCACACGATCTCCTCCATGTCACCCTTGCACTGACGTCCAACTCGACGCTTCCCATTCTGTCGGGTTCCACTCGAGAAATGGCCTGATGCGCGATGTCACCCAGTGGCCTCCTCAGCGAGTGTCCAGTCCATCCCAATCCACTTTCTCCTGCATATTTGTTGGTTGGTGATTGGTTCTTGTTTTGTTTGTTCCCATAGTTTCTTGTTGGTGATTCTTTCCGGCCATCTAATCTTCAGTATAGAGTGAAGACAGTTGTTGATAAAGGTCTGCAACAGGCTGTTAGAAATATTCTTTGTGAACCGTATACAGAAATTCAACTGACAGATCAGTTACTCAACTACAACGGGAAAAGTCCAACATCTCTCCAGTGCTGAAGAGGAGGCAAGAGGAACATTCTGTCACATTCTGCCTATTATTCTCTATTGCTCCCCCTTAGTTCTTCCTGGGCTACTGAAGAAAGACTATACCTTATTAGGCAGGATGTTGAAAGTTGTCAGAATGGCAAACAGCGTGCCATTCAACCAGCTTGTTGATGTTCTGGTTAACAGGCACATGGACTCATGTGAAAAATGGGCTTAATCTATTTTATCTAACTCACACCACCCTCTTCATTCACAACTCTCCCCTTGTATCTCACCTAATCAGGCAAAACCAGAAGCCTGTATAGAAAACTATATGCTCGCACTAGTAAGTACAAAAACTCAACCATACTCTACTTAGTTGGTTCGTGTTCTGTGCGACATAGAAAGCAATAGGCGTGATAACTATAACTTATTAAATAGTCAGTAGAACAACTGGATCTCGTCTTTCCAACTCATATCATTTGTAAGTACAAGGTTTTCTTTCTTTCTTTTCCTTTTTACTCTCTCTCTCTTTCTCTGTTATGTGCTGCTTTGCTTCTCTCTTCCTTACAAACTCTACTTAAAACATTCTTCTTCGTTCTTTCATACTCTGTATATCTCGACCTTTTTGTTACCGCTTACGTTAGTAAATATGCTAGTATCTAATTTTCTAACGCTTTCAAACATTCTGTTCACTTTTGGCTTTTCTACCGACATGCTAATATGTTGTTGTCAAAACTAATCGGGATTACCCTCTATCTATGTAGAATTTTATTTATTGTTAATGTATAAAACTGAATGCAATACTGTATGTGTGAAATGCTGAGAATTCCATTCTGTATCACAAGTACTGTTTTGGAATAAAGCAAATTATTATCATTATTATTAAAAAAAACACTTACTAACTCTTTTCAAGAAAAATGAATAACCACATAATTTCATCAAAAATGTTTAAACTCAGATTGTCATACCAAAAAGAAACCATCCTCAAAAACTCTAAAAAAAAATTCACTCTAGCATACAGATAAATAAAATCTCTGAAATAACCAACGACTAGAATACTAAAACCATTTGAGATAGACATAACCACGAGCCAACACGTTCAATCCATTCAGTATTATCATTGTTTTTTGTTCTTGTTCTCTTGGATTCCGAGTTGAACATATAGCTACAGCAACCCCTCTCCACTTTGATCTGTTTTCTCCTGTTCTCTTCAGCTGGCAACATGATTGGCCATAATCCCTTATCTCCTCCGACTCGCAAGATCTTATTCATGTCACCCTCGCATAGACAACCCACTGGTCGCTTCCCATACGGATTCCAGTCCAGCTATGGCTGCCATTGTTCGCGGTGTCATTCGACAGCCTCCTCAATCTATGCCGGATTCATCTCCATTTTCTCCTATATACCGTTGAGCAGTCGGCTCTAGCTTGTTGGTTTGTTTCCAGTCAGAGTTTCTTGCTGCTAATTCTTTCTAGCCACTGGATTTTGAGTATGGAGCCAGGCAGATGTTTATAAAAGTCTGCATTGGCTTGTTGGAAATGCTCTTCTTGACGCCAGTGTCACATTTATGACCCGTATAGACGAACTGACTGAATGACTTCACATCTGTGTTGAAAATTCGAATCTTGTTCTTTATACTGGCTAAGTTAGTGCAGAAGAATCGCAAACTGGTTTCAGGTCGACGAAGGCGTATCTTGCCTTTCCAATTTCGAACTACCTTTGAAATTTTCACCCGTGCCATAAGCCTGTGGTTGAAACAGTAGTTGCTGACCAGATAAGTGAAAGAGGTGACCTTTGCCAAATCTCTCCCATTGATGGTGTTCGGCGCTGGCTGTTGCCGCTGTTGCAGTTTGTTGGTTATCTTCTTCACCTTCACCTTCTCTATATTCACCAGGATGGTATCCTGTCTTCACTGCCTGCTTCTACAGCCAAGACAGGACTCCAAGTATTCAGTATTATAATGCAGACCGAAAGAAAACAAGATCAACACCGTCTGTTGAATAAACTATACCAACTGTGATAAACACTGGGCGTCCTCTTCGACCCAGAATCAAAGATCATATATTGGCTGTGAAAAGATACGATATATTTTCTTTCATATCGATGCATGTAGACAATTACAGATATCATTTTAATCAGGGAAATATGTAAAATTTAAACAGTGGAAACACAAAAACTGTCAGGTAATTTCTAGATGCTTGGTACTCAGGTGCATCAGTGACTAACAGCTACATCACACGGCAGGAAAATTCAAATTTAAAGTCAGTAAAATTTATCCATAATGATTCATTTTTAACAATTCACGACAAAGTGTGTCAGTAGACATCCGGTTATATGATTCGTGAAAAATTCACCTCATTTTGATGCTCGCGCTGCAGTGGTGTTGTCAAGAAGGACAACGAACGTTTCGCGATTGAATCAGCCAGCTCAGAGAACACAACCACAAAACCAGCTTACTTATTTCACAACTGGCTGTTCAATTTATTTCGCTGTAATTGTTTTTCACTATGAAGTGATATTTAACCTCATTTGCCTTCTATTGCATAGTGGGGAAAACAGGGAATCCAGTTTGACAGGCTGTACCGGAAGTGATTATTTTTCCTAAATCATACTTTATTGAAATTAATTTCTACTTCCTATCGAGATATGATATTAAATAACACAATTATATTAAGACCACTTTTTGTGTTCGAAAATTTCTACTAATCATGTCAATCAGTCGTTCCCATTGTTTCATGCTAATTTTATTATCAGTAGTACTCGTGGTGTTTACGACGTTCTCTTCCACATTAACAAAGATATTTATCATCAAGTGTAGGGTGTAGCAGTGGGCTCTCCTGTGGGCCTTCTATTACCCGAAAATGAATTAGAAAATCGTCGACTTAAAAATGCTATCAACGAAGATATGGTACATGATACTTTCATCTTACTTCAGAATAAATCGGTACCGACGTCCTTCTCAAAACATTCAGTATGGCTTATCCACAAACTGAGTCCGCATACGGAAAACACGAAGATGATACTTTATCATTTCATGATGTCATGCTAACAAGAAGTCAAGAGGACAATACTAAGCGAAGTATTTTCAAAAAAATTATGGGTTGGTCAGTACACACCTTTTAAGTCGTTTGTTCTTCTTTCATACTGGCGAAATTTCATCAGTACCCCGATCATTCGAGCTAGAAAAACTTAAACGATCAACACTCTTAACGATGTAATAAGGAAAATAGAAAACTTCTTATATGAGAAAGGATATTCAAAAAAATTTGTTAAAGTCTTTATTAGAAGAATATATGAAGAGAAATGCCTGTCAACTGTACAAAGGAGACATTTGTATACATGACCTTACTGTTTAAGCAAGACGAAGTGAATGAATTACTGGTATGAGAACTGTGGAAAGTAATACCTTAAACGTTCTTTGCCGCATGACTACTTTTAAAATTCATCAACTTGTTGCATAATTCCAATGCAGATGAAGGATAAGCTAGCTATGTGCATTTACAAAGTTGACCATTCTTGTGGAGACAGTCACATGAGTGGAATGAACCCGCAAAATCTCCTTCAGCCTCTTAAGCATTATCCAAAGTGGTTAGGTAAAGGAGTAATAAAGTCAGTTAGGTGTTCCGTAATGGCACACCTTGTGTTTAGAGATCTCAAGAATGATGAAAATTCAGCTTTTACAATTCTATGCAAGGTGCCACCTTAATTCCCCAAGTTTGCACAGTTTCGACTGCTGAGCTTCGGTAAGGAAGTTGACATAACGATTTGTCAACCCAATCTCTATGTTCAAGAAACGTTTGTTCAATCGCCCTCCTTTTCATGGTCTTCAACCTCTACTCAGAATATTCATCTCTTCCACTGACACCGGATAACTGTAAATATTATTTTTAAGTGAATAAAATGCCTATTAAAATTTTTCAAAAGTGACAACTGAACAAAGAATACTCTTTTCGATAATCCCTTCTTGACCAGACTCTACAGTTATATTCACATTATAGTGAATGAATGAATGAAAAACATTAATGTTATTTAAATAACATCGAATCAATAATATTAAGAGATCACAGTTTGATAACGTCAAAAAAATCATACATTGAATATCAGAGAAGTTAGGAAAGATAATAATACAAATTCATGAATTTATAGTCTCCTCTGAAGGCCGGTCAAGGCA